CCTTTCAGATATTGTTGGTTAGATACTTGGATCAAGCACTTGGAGGATCAACATATCTCTTGAAGTATATCGTATTGTAATGTTTTAACTTTTAAGTTGACTCTATTATGGTAACATGGCCCTTTTTTAAAAGTATTGGATTTTATAATGAGTACTTCTTTTGCTAATGTATATTGGTTTATTGTAATTTGGATTTTTAAGACATGTTTTAATTAACTTGTTATTTATCTCATAATTATGAGTTGGTTTTTTTATAGTATAATTAATTATAATTTCATAAATGTCATTTATAAATATGATTTTAAGTGATAGAATAACGGTTTCGGAAAAATGTCTTTAAGAATCATGAATGTGATCCACTAGACTTAGTCGAAACGCATAGGCCGGGTCTAGGGGGTTACATTTAATTGGTATCAGAGCTTTTGGTTTTTAAACCTCGGACTGTGTATGAGTCCATTGAAAATACGGTTTTGAAATATTTACAAAATAAGTTGCTAAGGCCATGTCTCAAAGTTTTTACGGTTTTAATTGTGTTACATACTCCAAGTGCTTATCTAACCCTAAGTTTTATCTTCTATATTAAACTAGAGATCTACTAAAATTAGTGCTAGACGTGGACGTCGAACTAGCCATGGACGAGGTCGAATGGCTAGATTTGCAGACCCAATCGATGAGATTCGAGTAGATCCCCCACCTCCGACAGGTGATCCTGCTCCTGCGACCCCGACGAATTTGCCTCCTGCCGCTGGTATTGGCATGACTACACCGATCATAGGAGCGACTGACTGATATTGAGCCTGATTCTTGCACCTGATGAGAATTTTGGTAGACAATTTCTACAGTTGATTCAGGGAGCGGTCAGAGCTGCTGGTGTTAGATCCGAGGTGCCTATTTCTCATACTCAGATTGCCAATGGATTCAGAACTTTTAGACGACATATTGGTGGACCTCCTACTGAAGCGAAAGATTGGCTCCAGGATACAGAAAGACGCATGGATCAATTGGGTTTGGATCCAACTAAGAGATATCTGGGTGTAGTAGCGATGTTAGATGGCAATGCCCACACCTAGTGGGAGTCAGTAGTCAGTAGTGTTTCGGTTGATCGTCTGACTTGGGATTTCTTTAAGGAACGCTTTAGGAGCCGTTTTCTGGGAGAGCTTTACTTAGCTCAGAGACGACAGCAGTTCCAGAACCTGGTACAGGGAGACATGACCGTTTCTGAGTATGCGATCGAGTTCTTGAAGCTGCTAAAGTATGGATTCAGTATGGTACCTACTGAGAGAGATCGATGACGTAAATTTGCTCTCGGAATCATATATGAGCTACGTAGGCAGGTTGTTACCCATCAAGATGAGATTTTTGATGTGCTGGTGGGCAGAGCGAAGGATGCTGAGGAGGTAGAGACCTTAGCTCCAGCAAGATATCGTGTTGATCGAGAGCGGCCTGGGAAATTTTCTGGGCCCGAACGAGTTCTCTGCACGTCCTGGAAAGAAGACTCGTACTTCAGGTCCTTTGAGAATCAATACCAGTTCTAGGCCTGCAATGTCTTCACCATCAGTTGTCAGTCCAGGTGGTTCATCGTCGTTTTATTATGGGCCCCTATGTGAGTATTGTGGTAGTCGACAAAGAGGAGAATGTCGTAAGAAGATGGGACTTTGTTACCAGTGTGGATCCAGTGGTCATTTCCGGAGGGATTACCCACATTAGTTTTGTCGAAACGGTCTTTTTCTTAAGAGCGAGATTTCGAAAACTACACCAAATTTTAATTATTCTATGTGTGATTGATTTTTAATTAAAAAAATATGTGATTTAAAAAAACCTCTCGTTTCGAATTTGGGATTTCCTTTACGATAAAAAACGGTTCGAAGAGTCGCCACCAATCTTTGATTAGGGTGTGATTGGGTACCCAAAAACATTTTGTCATTTTAAATAAAAATTTATTTTAATTAAAACAACAAATTGGAGTATGCGTTACCAGAAAATGAGTTCGGAAATCGATTACGCGTGGGGAAGGATTAGCGCCCCCACAACGCCCTAAATCGGTACCTAATCGATTAATTAATGTCTTTGCAACGAATTTCACAAGTTCGAATTTAATTTGATTTATGATCCCTTAAAACAAAAAAAAATGCAAATTTTATATCATTCAAAAACAACGAAATAGATTAAATTAAAATTACCAAACCATTAGAAAGATAAAGAATATTCGATTATTTAAAAATATTGAGACCAGATATTTAGGTAAGTTCTAACGACCTTTTCTCAAAATTTTAAATCACTGAATATTTCCTTTTCTTTCACTCTCAAATTTTAAAGTAAAGAATCAAAAAAATTTAGTGACAATGACGGGATACACTTGTAATTTAAAATCGTCAAGAACAACTTTCCTGTAAGTTAAGAAAAGCCATTTTGACCATTTTAAATTAAGAGGGTATTACCCTTAATCCGATTATGTAATAATGTCGAGTTATGCTCATGTGGATATCATACGAATTATACAAATTAATTCAAATTCAATCCTAAACCTATATGCACACTACACACTCACATAATGCTAAATAATCCAGTTTCATAAACAAACAATAATGTAACAAAAAGTCAAATGTTAATAACTATATAAGCTTGCATTATTATATAAAAATATTATAAAACATAAAGTCACAACGTAGGTTGCCAAAATGGGTTAAACATAATTATAATGTAAAAGTACCAATACCTACACGACTAAAATCATATTTATTAGAGCACATGCACTATGACATATGTAAATATGCACCGACTTTTAAGAATTATATATACACGTAGATTATAATAATATCAAACATGATATAAGCAATTCACATACGATTAACATTCACAAATAACATTAGATACCTAAGTAGCAGTCAATACAGAGCAGTAAACTGAAACGACCATGATATGAAATAACTTTTATATATATATATATATATATATATATAATAGCTTTATAATAATCGGACAACCAACATCATACCACACATAAGATATAAAATCTAATATTAAATATAATATACAAACATATACATGCAACATACTAAATATATATTTTAATATAATTACAACCATCATGTACGCATTAACAAGGAAACATAAATGCATGATTAAAAACATAATGAAATAGGGCATAATAATACAAAATAAAGGCATTACAAACCACTATAAAATTCTCAAATCAAAACCAAATTGTATTGAAAGTAAAAACGTGTGGGACCCTTATATAATAAGCAAAGTAATTAAAAAAACTCTACCCCTTTGTCTTATGTTAGCACAAAACAGAATCCTTAAACAAATTAAAAAATAAGGGTAAAGTATAGTAATGGTCACTGAACATTTCTGAAGCTTGCATTTAGGTCCCCCAACTTTAAAACTTGCAATATAGTCCCCAAACATTTAATTTGTTTGCAATATGGTCCCCGCACCTATGAAAATTAGGGTAAATCATATAAATGGTCACTGAACTTTTTAGGTACTTGAATTTAGGTCCCCCAACTTTTAAAACTTACAAAACATTCCTCCATTTCATTATAAATCCCAAATTTCAAAGTAATTCAATTTCATTTTAAACCCTAAATTCCAAAATAATTCAATTATATTCTAAACCCCAAATTCTAAAATACTTCAATTTAATGAGAAATATAATAGATTATCTTTAAGAACGTGATAGCGTTTTGATTTTTTTACTTTTGTGAAGAAAAAAATACACTCCCTCCTCGTAAATGTAAATTTAGTGATCTTCAATAATTTAAATATAAAAAATGATTATGGAAGAAATTGAATAAAAAAAATACAATCTCTCAATGAAAAAAATTAAGAATCAAAATCCCCAATTGACATCCTTATAATTTTTATTTATTTCAATTATAATTTAATTTTTTTTAATAGTTTGATGTGATTATAAGATAGTATTTATTCAAAAAAATTAATTTATTAACAATATAGATATACCCTACAAACACAATTGTTTGAATTTAAAACTTTTAAAGAAAATAACATTTTTACCTATATTAGAAAATTAAAAAAATAGATCGTGCTAGAACTAAAAGAATACGTGAACGTGACCATGAAATAGAAAGTTTACGTATGTTACGAAAACATGGCACAAACCCCATCTCTTTTGAGTTGATTGTTATCATCAATTTAGGGTATATTATATTAAATTATTGATTTTTTATTTTATTTTTGAAGTAGTCAACTTCAGTGTTTATTTTTTATTGTGTTTTTTATGATTTTATTAAATATTTTCTACAAAAATATTCGATGTAATAAGTAAATAAATATTTAATTATCATGGTAATATTTATATTTTAATTATAATAGAAATATAAAAAAAATATTTATACATCATTACTATATTAACATAACTCGTATATAAAATTTTGACTCTGCTATTTATGTAGTCTTAATATTTATGTGAAAGATATAAATATATTAACACGTATGATTAGATATAAAAACTGCACAAATAATCAGAAATATATTTATTTTAAATAAATGAATTATTATCATATATTCTTACTATTGAAAAAATTTTCATGTCTTTAAATTAATATTAAAAAATTATCATATGTTTTTAAATATAAAAAGTAAATTAATTAATAATTTAGTGACATTGGCGTCGTTTATAAAAAAGACAGAAATTGAAGTATTTTAGAATTTGGGTTTTAGAATGTAATTGAATTATTTTGGAATTTAGGGTTTAGAATGAAATTGAATTACTTTAGAATTTGTGGTTTAGAATGAAATTGAGAATTGTTTTGTAATTTTTAAAAGTTGGGGGACCTAAATTTAAGTGCCTGAAAAGTTTAGTGACCATTTATATAATTTATCCTAATATTCATAGGTGCGGGGACCATATTGCAAACGGATTAAATGTTTGGGGACTGTATTGCAAGTTTTAAAAGTTGGGGGACCTAAATGCAAGTTTTGGAAATGTTCAGTGGCTATTACTATACTTTACCTTAATAAATAAAACCCTAAAAACATATTACTTTCAACATTTCTTCTCCACAACCGTTTCCTTCTCCCTCTATACTCTTATTCTTCGACATATCTCACGGCGACCACGAAGCTCGAAAGCTTTCTACGTCGGCCACCACACGCAAGTGGCCAAAACTCATTCCGATTACACAATACTCAACTGGTAAGTTTCTAATCCTAACCCAAATACTACCAAACACTTAATTTATTCTAACCCAAATGCTTTATTTACCCCGATCTAAAGCTATAGAACCCTGCGATGGGATATCAACCCCTGTTTCGGAGAACGAGAGAAGCCTAGGCCTACCTTGGGCAAACCGAATCTGCTTGGTCATTTCTCCATCCTAAATCGCCTCTAGACAGAGGCCTCTACAAGCCCCAACAACCGCATGCACACCGGCCACTGCTAACAACAGCCTGAGGGACCAAACGACCACCAAACTCACAAATAAAAAGCAAAGACCCACAGACTCCCCAGTTCGACAACTACAACTTCGGTGACGATGGTTTCATCCCTCAGGTAAACTACTTTTCCTTTTTATTTCTTTATTTCTTTGGTTTTTCGATTAGGAGAATTAAAAGTAAAAAGAAATGTGTTGCTTTCGATCTATGCTTGATTGTTTCTACATATTACTTTGAGAATAAAAAAAATATAAATAATGAAAACGCTACTGTAAAATAAGAATAAAAAACCTTGAAAGGAATCTACTTGGATGCTAGGAAAATTCCGGTTTCTATTGCTTTCGATTTCAAGAATGGAACATTTCTCCACTTTTACAGTTTATTTACCCCCCAATTCGATTACAATCATTGTTCTTCTCTTGTTTTCTTTTTGTATTTTTCTTGCTTGTTTCCCCTCTCTTTTGTTCGGGACCCCCTGTTGTTGATTGCTAATGGCTCCCTTCTGTTTCTTTTCATCCCCCCATCTCTTTGTTGATATCCCTCCTTCTTTTTATCATCAAATCCCATTGCATGTTGTTGGATTAAGTAGAAGTAGGTGAATTATTTCTCTGATTTGGTGAAGTGAAATCCTTAAAGTTTAGGGATTTACAGTTGCTTTTTCTTCTTTTCTTTCTTTGACTTGGATGATAACTTTTGGTGATTGACTGGTGTTTGATGTGGATGATTTGTGCAGTATCAGCTTCAACAATGGTATGATTGTCGGCAGCAGCTAAACGGGTCAATTCTGGATCCGGATCACACTTGGGATGCTCTTGGGCTCCGGGTTTTAATTTCTTCAAGCATGTTGTAATTGGTCTTTGTAGTTTGGGCCTATAAACGTTGTAAAATAATAATATTAATAATAATTATAATTTTATAATAATAATAATAATTATAATACAGTAATTATTATAATATAATATTTATTTCCCAGACAAAAACGGGTGTCTATAGCTGCCCCTCTTTGCTCATTCTTTTGTTAACAAGAATATAGCAAAGATAAAAAAGACAACGTGTTTTTGTTCAGTTTTATATCCGTGCTTTAAAATTTGATAAGTGATCCGCTCCACCCTTTCTGTTGGGGAAGTCGGACTCGAGATCGATTTGCTTCACTACTCTTTGGTGAAGGCTTAGGATTGATTTGCTTCACTACTCTTTGGTGAAGGCTTAAAATGGCCCGGAGGACTTCATCTTGGTGTGAAAACATCCTACCCGAAGGTCTTATGGATAGCCTGAAGGACTTATCATCTTGCTCAAAAGGCTTACAGATGACCCGAAAGATTTCAACATCATGCTCGAAAGACTTACTGATGGCCCGAAGGACTTATAAATTGTGAAATTTTGAAAATTGCATCCTTAGTTTTCAAAAATTTCATCTTCTTAAAACATCATTTTTTCATTTTCAAATTCATGTGAAAACACCCTACCCGAAGGTCTTATGGATGGCCCGAAGGACTTATCATCTTGCTCTAAAGGCTTCAAGATGACCCGAAGGATTTAAGCATCATGCTCGAAAGACTTACTGATGGCCTGAAGGACTTATCAATTGTGAAATTTTGAAAATCGCATTCTTAGTTTTCAAAAATTTCATCTTCTTAAAACATCATTTTTTCATTTTCAAATTCATTTGAAGACATCCTACCCAAAGGTCTTATGGATGGCCCGAAGGACTTATCATCTTGCTCTAAAGGCTTACAGATGACCCGAAGGATTTAAGCATCATTCTCGAAAGACTTACTGATGGCCCGAAGGACTTATCATCTTGCTCTAAAGGCTTACAGATGACCCGAAAGATTTAAGCATCATGCTCAAAAGACTTACTGATGACCCAAAGGACTTATAAATTGTGAAATTTTGAAAATCGCATTATTAGTTTTCAAAAGTTTCATATTCTTAAAACATCATTTTTTTCATTTTCAAATTCATGTGAAAATATCCTACCCGAAGGTCTTATGGATGGCCCAAAGGACTTATCATCTTGCTCTAAAGGCTTACAGATGGATTTACTTCACTACTCTTCAGTGAAGGCTTAAGATGGTGCTTCACTACTCTTCTGTGAAGGCTTAAGATTGTTTGCTTCACCATTCTTCGGTGAAGGCTTAAGATGATTGCTTCACTACTCTTTGGTGAAGGCTTCAAATGGATCGCTTCACTACTCTCCAGTGAAGGCTTAAGATTATTTGCTTCACTACTCTCCAGTGAAGGCTTAAGATTATTTGCTTCACTACTCTCCAGTGAAGGCTTAAGATTAACTTGCCCCAATCTCATGTGTGCAAGTCCTTCCAATCGATCGATTCACTTCTTCATAGACAAAAATCTTTGTTTTTTCTTCTATATCTAATGGTCATCACTTCAGAGTAATGCTTCTTCTACGGATTAGACCTCTCAATTCTTCAGGGTATGCCTCTCTAAATGTAACTCCTTGTGTTTGAGGCTTGAAATCTTCCTTTCAACTTAGGATTTGAACATCTTGCATCTTCTCTTTCCAATGGAAGACCTGTCAAAATCATGTGTTTATGCATGAAACACGAATGCAATTAGATATATCAATGTAATGCATTATGTTTTATGCAAATGATGTTCTCATGAATGCATAAATGTCGATTTAATCTTCATTTGCCTTCAAAGTGGCAAACTCAGTCTTCTTCTACTTGATCACTCTTTCCAGGGTCTACTTCATATACCCTGTGTAACAACTCACAATTTTCCAATTTACATTTTGAAAGAGCTCTCTGATCTTCTTCTATCTTCTTGTCGTCTTCATTTTTTATCTTTTTTTTGGATAAAGCGTTTTCTTTCTCAACTTCTTACTATGGTTATGAATATGACTGTGTTGTCCCATTTTTATCCTTGGCTCAAATTTGCTTTCAGAGTTGTTCTTCCAGGACTCTGCCATTGATCAATGCTCAGTTAATTTGCTTTACAAGATAAGCTTTGCTCAAATTCAAGGTCTGCCCCTGACACTTCAAGTTACGAGACTCATTCCCCAACCTTATCTTATACTGGTACAAGCCTTCAAAATGCCCCATCACCTCAAATTGTAAGGCTAATTCTTCATGCCTCCTTGGTCTGAATCTTGTCATCTCAGCATAATGTGGGTTTAGTTGTGCCCCAACATATCCTAACTTGAATGTTCTCATTCTGGTGTCACTACACAGTAGTGTTGTCAAATAGTTTGAGGGCTTCTCTTCATGTTGCCATAAACACTTAAGAATTTATCAATTTTCCTAACCAAATATCTTGCATTTTATACAAGTTGTTATATGTGCCCCTTCTGAACAATGAGGTCATCTCCTTCTTGATGGGTTACTAAAAACGTCACAAGGAAATGTTGCCAGTTCTATCCTTCATCCGTTCTAATCTCTCGGACCATCTGCTTCAAGATAGCATAATGCTTCATATCCTGGAATTGCGTATTATTCTTCTCCAATGGAGGCACAATAAGCCTCACCAGCTTCAAGGACCTTTTACATTTGAACTGTCATGTTTGAAAATGTTTTTCTTCTTTCTCTCATTTCAAAGATCAAAGAATGAAATTTTTTTATAAAACATTACCCCTTAATTCATGCTCGTAATCAAATCAAATCATAGACATGAGTTCACAGAATATCAAAAGAATCAATATATCTTTAATGTTTTCAGGGTTATAGCTCTTTGACAAGTGTCAAAATTGAGGGGTTAGCTTCCTATTTTCTAAGGTTTCGACCACCAGAATGTCATTTCTTTCTTGATCATTGTGAATATCACAACATGCCTTTCTTTCTTGTCTTGGTATTTTAATCGGATGCGGACAAAATGACGCAACTAGCATAATCAATTACTAAACTTTCTAGAACACTTCCATTTCAGTTCTCTGAAATCTTCCATTTGTTCAAGCTTCGTAGACTCATCTAACCAAGGCAGTGCATAAATATCAATCTAAAAATGAAATTCATGAGTGCTCGTGTGAAATTGACTATAACAGGTGTTTCTCAACTCCCTTAGTCCATCTTTACCGCAACTCCTTATTTAGATAAACTTGATTTAATTTGCCATTGTCTAGCTAGCTGAAATCAGCTTTATTGTAATTTGCCTTTATCGGGCTAGTTGAAGGATTCATCTCATCACAAAGTCTTTGACTTGACAATCACAGTGGAGCATACACCGAATTGCCAGGTACCCGGTCAAGGTCATGGTTTGAATATAATCTATTCATAAAGCCATGGCTTTCCAGTTTCCTCTATAACCAATTACCTTAGCGAAATAGCTCAGCTTTATTGTATACACATATATTATATATATATATTTTGTTGGGTATGCAGATTCAATTTCTTAAGCTTGTCAAGAAGAACCTCTCATAGTCTAGGTGTTGTTGAAAGTCAGAAAATCTCATCGTTAGAGTTCAATTTCCAAGCAATTGACCTAAATTATATTCACCTACTCGACTATTCCATCCGTAAAGATCATAATCATCATCAAACGTCATCAACAAAAGTATGGTCTAGACAGTTTTGTGATGTCATACACAAAAGATGCCCCATGTCCGCTCCTATGCATACCTGAATACCAAGCCTATTGTTCATTTCCTTATAAGAGGAGAAGGCTATATTGGTCCCTACAATAGAATGGTATGGCGTTCGATTGTATCTTATGGGCATAAGATCCAGGGTCCTTGTTTTATCAGGTTTCAACCTTGTCATCTTGTCAAAGATTTATACCTCATCATTATTAAAGAACTTTTAATTCAATTGATATTCAAAGAATTTCAAGTCATTAGTTCGATTCAATGCTCACCATCCTTAAAGTAACATGAATTCATTTAAATATCACAAAAAACTGATGAGAAAGTACAAAAAAACATGTTCAAACAAGATGTTGCAAATGACAAAAAATTTCATGATAAATAAAATGATTTTTGCGCAGTCATGATGCCCCATTATTCTTCTGATGCAGTGGTGTTTGATTTAATCGGGTGCTACACATTGTGCTTTGGTGCCCCACTTGAGTTCGTCATCCATTGTTTCACCAATTCTTGTGTCAATGTCCCATTTTCCACAAGCATCTCTATCTCCTTTAACAGCGGCCTACAATTTCCAGTAGAATTCCCTAATACCCCTAAGTGAAAATCACAGGCATTATCTTGATCATAGCTGTGAGCAAAAGGGTCTGGTTTCACTTTCACTAGCCTCGGTATGAGGTATTGACCTTTAACCAAATGGGGATACAAATTCGAGATAGAAGTTTGGAACACTTTCAAAGTATTTTTTGATCTTGGGACTTTCTTTGGACGACTCGAGTAACTTGTTGCCCCTTTTCTTTTATGGTTATGGGAGCTCTGGACGTGACAATCATTCACCTCATCAACTTTTCCCTCTTGGCCAGTTGGACGTTTGGAAGTGACCTTCAAGTTTCCTTTGTTGATTGCATCTTCAATTGATTCTCCAGCCACCATAAGATCCTTAAAGCCAATCATCGAATTTCCCAGCATTAACTCAAAGTAAGGAGCTGGGAGAGAATCGTGAAACAAACATGATATTTCTTCTTCTAACAAAGGAGGCTGAACTTGTGCTGCCACCCCTCTCCATCTTAGAGCATATTCTTTAAAGCTCTCAGTAGCTTTCATCCTTATCCTTTGAAGGTCATGATGTTTTGGGGCTAAGCCTTTAACATATTGATATTACCCCAGAAAAGCATCAGCTAGGTTGACCCATGTCTTGATCTGTTCTCTGTTCAACCAGTTATACCATACTATAGCTGGACTAGCAAGACTATCATGGAAGAAATGAATCAGCAAGTTATCATTATTTAAGTACCCTTCCATATTTCTACAAAACATCCTCAAATGTATTAGGGGACAACT